CAAGGTGAACTAGGCCAAGGCGCCTGCAGATGGAAAAAATGGGGGTGGGGGATTCAACTGAGCTGCTGTCAGGGAGAAAGGCATTTTATGAAGTTTAAATACAGTAGAAAGGAGGCAAGAAAGGGATAAAATATCCAGGAAAGTAGAGTTGTGCATTGGAAGGCCAAAATACGTTTCACCTCCCTGTAGGACAGCCATACTTTACCAGTGAAGTAGGTGAGGAGGAAGAGGAGGAAGACAAACATTTGGGCCATGGCCGAGAAATGGGCAACAGTGGGTCTTCTGAAACCAGAGGCACCAGCAGAAGAGGAGGAACGGCAAATCCACCTCACTGAAGCTCTAGCGGGAGCCAGACCGAAGACCCCAACGAGACAACTGGCCCACCGCTGGGACCCACCGAGAGATTGGAACATCTGGGAAGACGCTGGAGGGTTCACCCCTGAGGTGCCAGCCCGCCCTCCATGGTCGAGGGCCATGGGGACCGCGACCAAGCCATGGGATGAGGGACAACGGGTGAGGGAGCTGGAAGACGAACTGCGCGCACTGAGGAAGGAGTGGGACAAGCTGAGGGTTCTGGCACAACCTTCCGTGCAAACTCCCAACCCCCCTCAGGGACCGGCGCCGGTCGACCAGCCCTCCCCAATGGCTCCGCTGGAACCATCGACCCCTCTCCCTCATCAGGCCCCGGCCCAAACCCCCACAGGACGCGGCGGGGGAGCAGGCCAGCAGCAAGCCGCCCCACAACCGCAGCAGGAGGAAGGGGACCTATTGCGAAGATGGGGGCTGGTAGAGAAGTACGACGGAGACCCTGCCCAACTGCCCGCCTTCCTGAACCAGGTGAGGATCTGCATGGGCACATGCGGGCGCCTGTTTGCCAGCGATGCCTGGAGGGGGCTGTATGTGTCCCGCTTCCTGGTAGGCGTGGCAGCTGAGTGGGTGAACGACTTGAACGAAACAGAGGCCCCAGAACTGGGGGACTTTGACCGCTTCATCACCGCCCTATGGGACCGATTCAAGGACCAATGTGCCCGCTCGCACACAGTGGAGGAAATCAGGGAGCTGAAACAAGGGGCGCGCCCCGTGTCAGACTATGCGCTAGAGTTCAAGCGCTTGGTGGCGAAACTCCCCGACTGGCCAGAGGCATTCCTCATGCGGTTCTTTCAGGAGGGGCTGTATGCACGGCTTTT